TGGTCTATAACTCCTCCCCAAACTTCCCTCTGCCCTGTATCTTGCTCTCTCATTGGCTGTAGGTCATCGCCGATGTATTTTTCAGTCAGAACTCATTTCACACAGCAGAATTTTGAATCGCTGACAGGTCCAGATATTTAGCATGCCAAATATTTCACAGGCATCAGCGATTCTATCAGATCATGTCTTTGATAATTCACACTGTGTGATTGACACTCGCGTGAATGAGCACCGATATGAATGAGTTGTATAAACTAGATTTAGAACTCTGAAACAGAACAAAAATGACTGTTTTTGCTATCTATCTATCTCTCTGTCTGTCTGCAATTATTATTATTATTATACATTTTTGTTTGTTTTTTTTGTTTATTTATTATATTATTATTATTAATTTTAATTGTAGTCATGAGAAGACATTTATTTTATTGACATCACAAGAAAAACTTTTTAAATTTAGAGATCATGAGAAAATGAAGTAGCGATCATGGAAAAACAACTTATTTCGAGATTGCAAGAAAATTAAGGTCGCGATCACAAGAAAACAACTTTTTTTTTTTTTTGTTGTCGTTGATCACAAAAAAACTTGTTGAGATCACAAGAATACAACTATTTTGTTGTAGACCATGAGAAAACAAGTTATTTATCTCGAGATAATGAGAACACAACTATTTTATGTTAAGATCACGAGAAAACAGCTTTCCATGTCAAGATAAGACAAACTTTTTTTTTTTTTGTCGAGATCACAAGAAAACAAAACATTAGTTATGTCAAGATCATGAGAAAATCGAGTCGAGATCACAATAAACAACTATTTTGTTATGTTGAGATGAAGAGAAAACAAACTTTGTTGAGATCACAAGAAAATAACAAATAAAGAAAAAATATAATGCATGGCCTTTAAGGGCTTCCATAATTTTAAGCACAATATATAACAGTATATTTATTTATTTTGAAAAAGAGCGCCCCCAGTTGGCAAGCCATGCATATCTGGAAATACAATACTATAAACCTGTACAGGTTTCTTTCTTCTGAAAGAATAGTTCAGAATGAACATTCTGTTAACATTTACTCAGCCTCAAGTTATTCCAAACCTGATTTTTTTCTTCTGCTGAACACAACAGAGGATTCAGCAGAAACAAATCAGGTTTGGAATAATCTGAGGCTGAGTAAATGATAACAGAATGTTAATTTTGAACTATTCTTTTAATCCACCAAGTTTGAGAACCACTGATGTAGAAGTTTCACATACTGTATACACACTTTCTCTTTCTGTCCACAACACAGCCGAGAAACAAGAGGTTAGGAGAGCGATCCTGAGCTGTTCCCTGAGTAATGTCAGAGAGGAGGAAGCTGATGAAGATGGAAGCGATGATGATGATGATGGTGATGAAGAGACATAAATCCCCTCATAGAAAGTAGTTTAACCATGCAGTAATCAGGGAGATACACTGATAATTTATGTACTGATAGTAAAGGGTTCATGTGGAGCCCCAACATTTTTTATACCACAAGACACATTTGCTTTTTTTTTTCTGCAGCATTTTGGGATTTGTAAATGGAGTGTATCATTCAGATTACTGATATTCCTGTATGAACTCTGGCCATGTGCTGTGTAGGTCACGCGTATATGTATTGTTTTCTGTATTGATTAAAATATATACTGCTGCTTCTGTTTACGTCTGTAAACGTCTCTTTCGAATAAACCAAATATGAACAACAATAAATGCTTCGATAGCAGAAACAGGACTATCTGTCTATAAAAAGTATGCGAGTGCAAGATTACACATACATTACACATTTTGCAGTCAAATGCACCAATCAGAATGGCTGAATCCGCGCATGCGCACCTCGTAAACCTGCGAGGCGTATAACCCTCATCCGGGTGTTTACGGTTCCCGATTGGCGACCCGTCGCCATATGTCTGACATTATTTAGCTGAACTAACATTTGGGTTAAAACCCATTTATTCATCCGTTTTCCTCTTTTGGAGAGCGGTTAACGCCTTGTGGGGCGCAACACTTCCCACGCCAAGGAAAAACGGCACTTTTCAAGGGGGCGAGGCCCCGCTTTTTGGGCACTTGTTTTTTTGCGTTAGCACAGCGTTTTTACTGAGACATTTGAATTGTGTCTCTGTTTTTCTCTCGGTTTGTTTGTGGTCAAGATGTCGCCGTAATGGGGTCTCCGCGTTTGACAGAAATTAATAAGGGCCTTCGTCGCCTGACCCGCATTCGCAACGACCCGTTGTTCTCCCCGTTTAATGCTAGAGAGCTCGGAGGATCTTTCCCCGGAGTTCGGCGTCAATATGGAGAAAAACCTAAACGCCAACAACAGCAGCAGCACGAAGATCCCGCCCCGCTCCAGCTCTACAGGCCCGACTCCTGCAGACTCTAAAGCCAAAACAGGTAGAGAACCAGCGTCCAATACACGCAAACACACGCTTATCGTGGTCAACTTTGCGGGGAAAGTGTGTGTGTGTGTGTGTGTGTGTTTGAGGCTTACTGCATGGTTTTGTTTGTGTCTGCCGAGATGACGTAGCCACGGCCAGCGATTGGCTCGTTTCCTGAATAAACAATGGCGGAATTCAAACAATACCAGTCAAGACTGACCGTGTCAGAAATTAACTTTTGTTAAGAGGCAATATTTTCTCTGAAATTTTTTTTTTAAAGGTAACTTAGGGTGACCATACGTGCCATTTTTCCCGGACGCGTCCTGGCCAGGATGCGTCCGGGAAAAATGGCACGTATGGTCACCCTATTTTAGGGGTGTTTTACTTTCATAAGGTTATTAAAAAATATTTTAGTCCGCTTATTAAACAAATCAAACCAATAATAAACTAAACGACCTGTAAAATAATATATAAATAAGTATATTCATTATAAATAAATATATTGAATTACATGTATATAAATTCAGGAGATACAATTAAGTTTGTTTTGGGGAAATGTTAGGTTAGTACTTTAGGGAATTTAGATTGATATTTATTTTTATATATTTAAGAGAGTGAGACACACACACATTGGCTGTGTTGTCAGAAAATGAGTTTATATTAGGTGGGTATGCGCTGACACAGATGAACACCAGAATAATACACACAAACACACAGGCTGAAAGCTGTAAATTTTTGGAAAAAAAGGCAGAACTGGTTTCATTGACTTTAAATGATGTAATGAGTATTATTAAATGTAATTTTAATACCAGGATCACAAATGAAAAGGAACTGGAATCGAATGAAATGTGCCATATTTCTGAATGTGCAGGCAAAGTGAATTCTTCAGGTTTTTTTTTTTTTAATTTTTTTAAACATTTTAAATTTAAGCATTTAATATTCATTAAACTTGTAACCTTTCATTGGTTTTTGCACCTTGTTATTTTGTGTTTGTTTTATTAAATGGCATTCAAAAATACCAATTATGCAGTTTAATGTCTTTTAAACCAGTTCCCTTTTCCCCAACTTGTTCAGACTTGGTTTATAGACATCAGCCTATATGTTTATGTAATTTATTCTGGTGTCAGTCTAAGTGCATATGTCCTCCCAATATAAACTCATTTTCTGATAACACAGACATGGGGGGTGTGTGTGTGTGTCACCCTCCTATACAGATAAACCAATATCAAAACTGAATTCCCATAAACTAACCTAACAAACTAATTAACTAGCTTCAGTGGTGTATTGCCCTCTAGCTTATAGATGGACCCAGGAAAGACTCCAGCATATCAGAATGAAATCACTGTAGATAAGAACCAAAATGGTGTCGTATATGTTTTAGTTTTGATGTGGGCTTTTGAACCATACGGGACGGCGGTCTCTGCTGACGAGTGATAAGCTGTGTGTGTTTACACCCCTCTGCTCTTATCATGTGGTCCTCTCTGAAACACTTTAAGAGCAGCACGTGACTGGATTGATTAGTTAAGACTGCGAATGACTGTTGTCAAAAAGAATTAATAATTAATTAAAATGACCCGGGGTTTCGTTCTACAATAGCTCAGCTCGCTGAGGGAAAACACACTTGAAGTTTACATTTACATGTAGTCATTTAGCAGATGCTTTTATCCAAAGCGTCTTACAAATGAGGACAATGGAAGTAATCAGAAAAAAAGTTGTCAATATTGCATTCAAGAAAATGAAATATTTTTCCGAAGTTGCAGGGACAGCCCCTTGTCTAATAAAATGTTATGCTTAAGAGTAATATATTGATGTTTTTTGACATTTCTCCTTTTCCCCCCTGTTCTTTTAGATGGTAAGAATAATGGTGGCTCAAAGCGCTATAGTCGCAAGCGTGAGCCCACTTTTGCCAAGGCTGAGAGTTTTCCGGGCCCACGCCGCTCCCAGCCACAAAAAAGCAAGAATTTTGACAAGAGACCCCCTCAGAGAGGTGGCGGAGGGGTGCAACAGTATGGACTGGCTGGTGGTGGGAGAAGAGAAGAGGTGCGTTTAAATAAGCCTTTGGATTATGATTCATTTTAACTTCCATGAACGGCTGTTTTTATGCTTCCTTATTGCATGTTAATGTAAAGGTTGCAGTGATCATGCTGGTTAATTAAACACTAGCCTGTAATGCAAAGTAAACAAACAGACCTGTACTTATATGGGTTAACCAGGATTAACTGTTGGATTCTGTCATTAGGTAGCAGAGAACCGCCGGGCAGAGTTTAGCCCGGCTCAGTTTGCTGGACCCAAAAAGATAAGTCTGAACCACCTGCTCAACTTCACGTTCGAGCCACGAGGAGGCCATTTTGGCTCCGGAGCTGATGGCCACTACTGCTGGGGTCGCCGCAACAAGTGGGGTCACAAGCACAAGCCCTTCAACAAGGAGCTTTTCTTGCAGGCTAAGTGAGTACAGCAGAGTATGTTGCAAACATTTATATGAATTGATATAAAATCACGTGCAACAATACTCTGTGTACTGCAGTGTTATCATAAGCTGATAAAATGAGAAAAATGCTAAGCTGATGAGTGTATTTTCCCTTTGTCCACCAGTTGCCAGTTTGTGGTAATTGATGATCAGGACTATCAAGCCCACTTCACTGATCCGGACACTTTGGTGGACTGGGACTGTGTGCAGCAAGTGGTCAGTTGAGGCTTCACACTTCCTTGTACATCCTGTTAGTGCCTTTTCTACAAATCTCAGCGTGTTCATCATGGTGTTTTTTTCTCATTCCACACAGCGCATCTACAGTCACGAGGTGCCGTCTTGTCCGATCTGCCTGTATCCCCCTGTGGCGGCCCACATCACGCGCTGCGGCCACATCTACTGTTGGCCATGCATGCTGCACTACCTCTCTCTGAGCGAGAAGAGTTGGTCCAAGTGCCCCATTTGCTATGAGGCCGTGCACAGCGCTGATCTCAAGAGGTTTGTACAAAAAACACCTGTTTATAATACTTGTTTGGTTTTTAAATTAATGTTAACATCATGATGTAGAAATCTGTTATTTTATTTAAATCAACCCCTGGCATATCGAAGTGCCATAATTCAGTCAAGACATTGCTGTCACTGTTGTCACTGAAGCCTGTCTTGTCATCTTTCAGTGTGGTTGCAATGGAGACGCGTCAGTACGTGACCGGTAATGTCATCACTATGCATCTGATGCGGAGAGAGAAAGGATCGCTGGTGGCTCTTCCCAGCTGTCAGTGGGTGAAGGTGGAAGAGCCCATTCATTTTGGAGGTGAGACATTTTGCTGTTTGCGTGAGCCTTTATGGTGTTCATTTGAGTGGGTCTTATTTGACACATTTCTTTCATTTGTTGCAGATGTGCATTTGCGCGCATACTCTAAGCTGCTGTTGGCGTCTCAGGAGCAGGTTTTGGGTTTGCTGAGTGAAGAGAGGGTGGCTCTCCAAACCCAGCTCAGCCAAGAGAAAGACGACCCGCAGGCCTGTTTCATACAGAGCGCCTTGCTGCAGCTGCAGGTACACATGCATTCACGCTGGCATATGAATGTTGGGTTGGACAAGTTACAAACCACTTAAACCTGAAACAAGCTAAACAAGTCACGCTACTGTTTTGAAAAAATGGTTTGTATAGGTTGCTTATAGTTTGGACATTGACAATAAGGTGAAATAAACACTGAATTGTGTAACATGTAATTTATTGTATAATTTATTACAGAAAAACAATGAGTATTTGGGTTGACGGCACCAAACTTCATCATTTACATGCAACTATCTTCTGCTTCGTAAACTGTTTTTTGAAACTAAAAACAAACAATGACAGTGACATTTAAAAATAGCTGAAAAAATAACCGGAAAACTTGCATGACTTTGGATCGTGTTGCATAACTTTCTGAGAATACTTTGGTTAACTTAAAACTGCACAAAAATAAATGAAAACGAAGTTGCTATAAGTTACTTAAATAGCTTAAACTACATTTAAAGCTATTTCAATAACTTGCATCTTGTACCTCAAGTTAATGAATAATCTATTACATATAAATGATGAGAATTTGGGTTGACAGCTTGAACAACTGACTTTAATGTTTTATAAACATTATCTGCTTCATAAACTATTTTATAAATCTAAAAATGTATAATGTGACATTTAAAAAAGGCTGAATTTTTACTGGAAGTGCTACATGACATGGAAAAAGCATTGAGCTATGTTACACTATTAGTTTTTTTGTGTGTGTGCATGTTATTTATTCCCTAACACTGCACACAAAACACATAACCCTCACATTTTATCTCTGACTCTGAACGAACAGGAGCGTGAGGAGCGTCTTTTGAAGGGAGGCTGTAAAAATGGTGGTTCTGTTGATGGGGCGGACATGAGGAAACTGTCTGTATCTGAGCACTCCTCTCCAGAGGTGACCGTGGTCAAGAACCTCACAAATTCAAAGGTTGGTAGAGGCAGTGCTCCTTTCTTTTAGCATAAGGTTAAGTTTTAGTCCAGTGCTGTGTTGCAAGTTTATAGCTTTCAATTTTATGAGACCCATATGGTGTGATCTTGTGATCAGGTCACCTGATTGAGTGAACAATATTCAGTGAATTATTCCACTGCAGTTCACATGTAATTTGTCTCCAGAAACTCCCATCATGTTCATTGTTTTTTTGTAGAGACTCTTTAAAGCGTTACATTTTAAAGCTTCTCTTTTCTTTACTTCTGATGCATATTATTTACTTTACTATGGGAATGTTTGTAATGTAGAGAAACGGCATGGACCAGATACCTTATTTATCTGCAAATCGAATGAAAGCATTTGAACTTTTCTGTAAATGTTTATAAAATTCAGTAAATCACTGTAAAATTCTGGTAACAAAAGCTCAGTGCATGACTTATGTATTCTAACACAGCCCATCCTGCAGTATGCTTCAGCATTTGATGATGAGCTTCAGAAGGTTCATGAGGAGCCTGTGGAAGAGATGGCTGCTCAGAGTATTCCTGAGGTGGCTGAAGAGATGCCTGAAAGAGCTGTGGAGGACAGACCTCTAGAAGAGACCACTCAGACCAGTCAGGCCTCTCATCATGGCCCATATTACTACTTCTATCAAGGTGTGTGTGTTTGTTAGTCTATTTGTAATGATGCTTAAGTTTTTTTTTTTTTTTTACACAGTAACTCTGTATAAGCAGTTGAAATGGAGACTAAATATGACACTTATTTCTCTCTTTTGTATCTGTAGCTGAGGATGGTCAGCAGATGTTTCTGCACCCAGTGAACGTGCGCTGTCTGCTGAGAGAGTACGGGAGCCTGGAGAACAGCCCTCAGTCTATCACCGCTACCGTAGTGGAGATTGATGGACAGACTGTCACCGAGGTACGTGCTCATCTCTTAATTCTCACATTCATGTCACAGAATAGCAGTAGCTATTGTCAGGACTCAGGATGGCATACTAGTTAACTGCTTACTGAATACTTTATACTGGAGTGAAAGAGCAGTGTGGTATGATGCTGTCATGCCTAGTGTCTGAAGCCACAGCACCACTGAAGCATGACAGATAAATGTACTTTTTGCTGGTGTGCATTTATAACAGTCTCACAGGATCGGGTTTTGAACTGATTCTGTAATGCCTAGTGCCTACTATGAAACTAATTGACATTTCATTTGTAGGATATTCGCCGTCGACATCGTTACCTCTCTCACCTGCCGCTCACCTGTGAGTTCAGTCTGTGTGAGCTCAAACTTGAGCCACCCATTCTCTCAAAAGAGACCGTGGACAGCTTTGCAGGTACATAAACATAAACGATACACTATTCCACTCCATCATGAAACCCACAGAGATGAACAAAAGACGGGGGTTTAAGAGGCCATCCGCTGAAAGATTTTCCATATTTCAGTGTTTTTGAAAAGTTGCTTGTTTACAAAGGCTGCATTTATTTGATCAAAAATACAGTAAAAGCAGTAATATTGTGAAATGTTACAATTTAAAAAAAATATATATTTTTAAAGGGGATATAACACCATTTCTGCCAATCTCATGTTAATCTTGAGCACCTATAGAGTAGTATTGCATTCTTCATCTCTCCGAAGGGTGTTTTAATTTGATCAGATTTGTAAAAGACAGAAACAGCTTTACGCTTCTCTCCGAAAACATCCGAGCTAAAGAGTCACGAGCAAAGCTTTTGCGTAGCGATCGTCTGCAAGCTGTGACATCGACATAAATAAAAACTTTATTGACTTGAATGTTTAATAAACAAATTAAATACAATTTGTTACCCAAGTGCTCTTGATCTCAATCTGGTTGACGAGTGTATGCGCACGCTCTTCCTGGAGAAGTGCCCATACAAGGAATTGACCGTTCGCAAAAGACCCGCCCTCCTTACTTACTGTTGCCATCTCCGACAAACAATGCTGCTCGCACACGACACCTCATGTTCTCCCGCAGTGAAAAATACATCGCAGAGCAAAGAGGAAACTGACAACATGCTGACAGACAAAACGAGCAGGCTACTTCTGATATGAAACAAGGTCTCGGGACTCTCAGCTTTCAAATTTTTCAGGGCTCTACGCTTACTTTTATTTTTAGGAGCACTTGTGCTCCTAACTTAAAAATTTAGGAGCACGTTCAAAATTTTAGGAGCACCTTCTAAACAATTATCCAAAATTTTATCAAAAAGTAGCCTTCCCATTACGAGGTGATATTTGACTCCTCTAACTTTATTAAAAGTATGTCATCTTTTGTCAAATTCTTGACAGAATTGAAGCTCTCTACTACACTGCGCAATGAATCTCTTATTTACACCCTGTCTACACTTTGCTTATGAAAGGATTTGTGAGATATGTCTGTGATGCATTACTCAACGCTGCAAAAACCTTTGACGCTCCCCTGAGCGCAATCACAGATATGATAATGATCGGGTCAGTCGCACTGGTGCTCCTAGAAAAATTTAGTCACACGCAGTAGTTTTCAGTCGCACTGTAGAGCCCTGTTTTTTCATTTTTTTTTGGTCAAGAAATTCAAACAAATACCGTTTTGTGACTCTTTAATGTGAAGTGACCAAGTGGCAACCTCCCGCTCTCTCTTGTGAAGCCAACACGGTAACAGTGACTTAACCTGTAATTCGTCAACTGGCCGCTAGAGGCTGGCTGCAAATGGGAGTCAATCCCATAGACTCCCCATGTTAAAATGCCCAACTTTACAGCAGAAAAAAACATGTTTACAGCCTGGTTAAAAAAATGATTTTGGTCTATATAGCAATTTTTTTTCCCTTCATGACAACTGTGAGGGGGGTGAATTTTTTTTATAAATAGTTTGATTTAAATCCCCTAAAATAAGGTCCGTGGTTCACACAAGCTCGAGATACTTTCACGTTTTATTCTACGACATAAAACACACCAGTTACACCCCACTCGTGATTTAAAAAAAAAAACTGTTACGTTTCTTTAAAAAGACGGTTGCTAACAAGTTGCTAAATGGGACTACAGACGCTGTAGGAGACATTAAACGTCATCACGCCGAACAGTTTATCAATTTACAATATTTTCCAATTGTAGTATAATTTATAGTACAATTAATTGTAGATTAACCAGTTAAGGTTCCCGTGTTTTTTGTTCGACAATGTTTTTTTGTTTTGCCCCGAAATGAAACAAGTCTGCGGATGGAAGATGCTCGTTTTAACGCTGTCCTACTGATGCGGAGATTCTTGGTTCGTACCATAAGGTAAACTCATATGATTATCCAATGTAAACCCCACATTTACTGGCTTAGTCGCGGTGAAAGTGAAACTGATGATGATGCATAGTGCTTAAAGCCACGTTAAAATTAAATGTTTATGGCCACATGAAGCTGTTAGAAAGCATGTAGATTGAGGATTTTCTAGAAGCAAGAATAAAATAACAATTTGTGTGCCTACCCTAATAAAATGATAGATGAAATGTGGTACTTTATTTACTAAAATAAGTTTAATCTTACCAGATCCAAAAACTCGCTCACTCTGTTATTTAATAGATTAAATGCACTAGAATTGTATTGAATAGTACATGGAGAAATGTTTTTAATTAAAATATTCGTATTAATCAAGGATTTATTGATTTTAATGCACCTTATTTCGAAATGTACAGAAATACATGCTTTCATTTGTCCTTTAGTTATGATTAGTTTATTTATTCACTATGCTATTTATTACAAATGTCTCATTTCAGCTTTAGTTTGGCTCTAATTTTGTATTTATTCCAGTTTATATGAAAAGGTTCATACACAGAGTAAATCCTTTTCACTGAACATGTTAAAAATATGTTCGAAAAAGTTGTCGGAAACATGGTGGTGGTGACTTTGAAGGTGAACGACCATAGTGTTGTAGTTCGTTTATAGCCTAAGTTTAGCTTTTAAGTTCTGGCGCTTTTATTTAGGCTTAAATTTATAAAAGTTATATTGTTTTGTAAGATTATCTCGATGAACAAAACGTGTAAGTTTCATGAACTATGGTTGAACTCAGAGCTTATTTTTTGAGATAATCCAAAAGCCTATGGAAAAATCCCATTGGCTTTTTGTCGAGGGAACCAGTGTTGATGCTAACAGTCGATCCGCCTACAAAGTGACATCATAGTTCCCCCACTCTATTGAAAAAGTTTCAATTCAGTTTATCTTTTTTACCCCGGATTTCTATGGAGACTGGCCGTAACGTTAGCTGTCGGGCGAGATGGCAGATCGCAGCGGCGGCACATAATATCCGCGTTCTGATTGGTCAGATCGCCTGTCAATCAAGCTCCCTGCAAACGGTTAATTTATTCCTGTAATTCAAAGCTAAATTTTCAGCATCATTACTCCAGTCTTCAGTGTCACATGATCTATCAGAAATCATTCTAATATGCTGATTTGCTGTGCAAGCAACATTTCTTATCAATGTTGAAAACCGTTGTGCTGCTTAATATTATAAATTAATATTAAAATTAATATTAACTGCTTAATATTAGACCTCAACATCCACCTAGATAAACCTCAGGCTGCAGACTTCCACACTCTGCTTGCCTCTTTTGATCTCAAGAGAGTGTTAACTACGGCTACTCACAAATCAGGCAACTAACTGGACCTTATTTACATACGACACTGCTCCACTGATCATGTGCTGGTTACTCCACAGCGCACCTCGGATCACTTCCTCCTCACTCTTAACCTCAACATGGTTCCTAAAACACATACCCCCTCCACATTTCATCTTTCGACGTAACCTACGCTCACTCTCACCCTCCTGGCTATCTGCTATGGTTTCATCTTCGCTTCCTCCCCCTAAACAGTTATCACCTCTTGATGCTAACAGTGCTTCTGATACTTTCTGCTCCACTCTTACATCTTGTTTAGACACCGTCTGCCCCTTGTCTTCCAGGCCAGCCCTTACCATCCCTTCTGCCCCTTGGCTGTCTGATGTTCTCCGCGAACATCGTTCTAAGCTCAGGGTTGCTGAAAGGGTATGGCGCAAATCAAAAAATCCTACTGACCTTAATGTGTATCAGTCACTCCTCTCTTCTGTCTATGCTAATGTCTCCACTGCTAAAAAGGATATACTATCATAACAAAATTAACAATTCGTCTAACTCTCGCATACTTTTTAAAACATTTTCCTCCATTCTTTGTCCTCCTCCTCCCCATCCTTCATCAACTGTAACAGCTGACGACTTTGCCACGTTCTTCATTAATAAAACTAAAACCATCAGTGCACAATTTTCCACACCACAATCGGTCAAGCACATCTTACCATCATACACTCGTTCACATCCTTCTCTTCACTCTCTGAGGCAGAAGTCTCCAAACTCATCCTTTCTAATCATCCTACTACTCGTTAGGGATGGGCGATATGGGCTTAAAAATATATCACGATATTTCTGGTATTTATTACGATAACGATATCAATGACTGTAATTCAGGGAATCCTGATTCTTTTAAGAAAAGTATTATCTTTCCTATTTTTACCCAAAATAGGGTGAGCATTAACCTCCTGAGACCCTGCATCCTCATATGAGGACATTATATTTTGGTGAATTTCTCTGAGACTATACATGCCACAGTCTGGATGTCCTGTACAGAGCACATTCAGGGCTTTTCAGAGATACTAAATGTTTGGATGTTTCACCATGACCACCCCCTCTCCTTGGTCTTCAAAAATGTCTGATATTAATTTAGTGGCACTCTTATGGAAATACGATAATATTTTGTAATTGTCATTTAAATCGGACAAATTTTTAAACTGTGTGTCAAAGATATCGCCCATCCCTACTACTAGTCTGCTTGATCCTATTCCATCTCATCTCCTTCAAGCAATTTATCCTGCAGCTGTACCTGCACTCACTCACATTATTAACACATCCCTTCACAATGGTGTTTTTCCCTCAGCATTTAGACAGACTCGTATAACCCCACTACTTAAGAAACCCACCCTTAACCCATCTTTTTTAGAGAACTACAGACTGGTTTCCCTTCTTCCTTTCATTGCAAAAACACTTGAACCAGCTGTGTTCAACCAAGTCTCTACATTTCTCACAAAGAACAACATCCTTGATAGCAACCAGTCTGTTTTCAGAAGTGGACATTCAACCGAGACTGCCTTGCTAAACACATTAATATGCAAATTAGATGTAGTTTATAGATACATTTATATATAATGAGAAAACTTGTTTGTTGCCATTTTACACACATTTTGCATGAAGAAAAATGGTATATCAAATCATTCTATTATAACATAGTTGAGAATTATCTAATTTTTTTTTATTTATTTTTTTTGTTTACATTTTTTTAAATGCTCTAAACAATGTAATGACATCAAAAAATACAATTTTTTTCCTAAAATGTTTTGCCGGGTCTTAAGAGGTTAATGAGTTCACACGTAATGTAAAGACTGTTTAATTCATACTGGAAGCCAGAGGGCACT